TTTCTTGGTACTGACTTCTCTCTCCATCCTGCTTCTTCAGCCCTGCATCCTGATGAACAACATCCAGCAGCTCCGTGTCCAGCTCGAGAAGATGTTTGAGGCCATGGGTGGGAAGGAGGTGTGTACTGAGGGTCTCCAGGAGGGAGTCTTATGGAGGGGCTGGATCAGTCCCTTCTCCTCAGAGGTAACCCCTGCCTTGGGACACCCCAGATCCTCACTCCTATATGGGATCATGCTGTCCCACCCCATGGCACCCTGCTCTCCCACCATGTTGGATGACAGATGGGCTTCACCCTGCCCAGGGGTGCATTTGGTGTGCATAGACACCCCCACCCCACTCCCCCCTCCCCTCCGGGCTGGACCAGGAATCTGACGGCTTCTCCAACCTGTCCCTCCTCCAGCTGGACACAGAAGCTAGTGATATCCTCAAGGAACTGCAGGTGAAGCTCAACAATGTCCTGGATGAGCTGAGCCGAGTCTTTGCCACCAGGTACACCCAGGCTAGAGGGTGCGGGCAGTGGGACAGGGAGAGGTTCGGGAGTCCAGGAGCTGCAGCTGGGGCCAGGCTGGGGTCTCTGCTCAGCCAAGTGGGTTGTGGGTAGAGACATAGGGGATGCTGAGCTGCCTGGGTGTTGCGGTCCCTAGTTTCCAGCCGCACATTGAGGAGTGTGTGAAGCAGATGGGCGACATTCTGGGCCAGGTGAAGGGCACCGGCAATGTCCCTGCCAGCACGTGCAGCAGCGTGGCACAGGATGCTGACAACGTCCTGCAGCCCATCATGGACCTCCTGGACAGCAAGTGAGTGTGGGACATGACAGGGATCCCCACCCTCCCCAATGCCCCTGACTCACTGAGAGTGTGAGGGACCTGCAGAGTCAGGGTGACTGGGCAAAGGGTGGCATCAGGGGTGCCATGCCAGGAACTTCAGCCCCATCCCCTCCCTGCAGCCTGACACTCTTTGCCAAGATCTGTGAGAAGACAGTACTGAAGCGGGTGCTGAAGGAGCTCTGGAAGCTGGTGATGAACACAATGGAGAAGACCATCGTCCTGCCTCCACTCACTGATCAGACGGTGAGTGACGGGGAGGGGGACCACAGATGGGGGACCCTGGAGCTGAGACACAGGAGGCTGACTGGGGCCAGTGTTGGACGTCGCTGGCCAGGTGCCCTCACTGGCAGCTGAGGTGGGGTGGGGACTTTGATGGCCTCCCAAAGCCTGCCCCAACTCATGGCCAGGGAAGGGATGGAGAAGGGTCATCCTTGACGCAGGTGCCTGCTGCAGCACAACACCCTCTTGGATGGCTTTGCCAAAGGACCCTCCTGCCACCTCCATCGTGGCACTAGGAGGGAACACTGGTCCTTTCTTCTCTTATCTTTCCCTCTGAGCTGGGGCAGCATCCCATGCCATGCTCCTCAGCACTGCCTGTGGGCACAGTCCCTGTACCGGGTGGTGAATCAGGAGGCTCTTAAGAGTGCAGGCAGCCATCACATGTTGGCCTTGCTGTGGGGTTGAGGTTGCCTGGGGAGCAGAGACTGGCTTTGTGGAGACTGAGGGGCATGTCCTCGCATCAGGGCTCAACTCTTTTTTTACTCCTGGGCTAAAGAGGGAGAGCAGAGCAAAGGTCATGGAGTGGTCCCTTCACAGAGGGCCTCCCTCTGCCTACCGGCTTCAAGGCTCTGTATCACATCACTGTGTGTCTATCCTTTTTGCACGTAGCCATGCACCCTGAAGCTTTCCAAGGTGGCTGTTCCATGAGGGTCAGGCAGGGAGGGGTGACACCAAGAGCTCTGAGACAGCCACACATCTGCCCTCTCACTCTTGATGGCTTCTGTCACAGTCACAAAACTGGGCTCAGGCTCTTACTTGGAGTCCCTGGAGCTGCTGGTTACTATGTCCCCTTTCTGGGGCTGTGGGGCTCCTTGTGCTATGCCTGTAAGGAACAGGACATTGGTGGCCCTCAGTGGTGCCACCTCACTGCCACCCTGTCACGGCCCAGAGCATGGCTCAGGCCTGTGTTGCTTCCAGCCAGGCTCTCACACCTTGGCCAACAGAGGCCAAATTTATCAGGATCACTGGTGCCACTGGGTCCTAGTCACCATCCCAGTCCCTGTCTCTGTCCCTCCCTGGCTACATATGGCTGTGCTGTGTGCTGGAGGCAGTGAGCCATGTGACGATGGCTGAGGAGGTGGCACGGACATGTGGATCTGTTGGGTGATTTTCCTGAGGGGAGGCAGTCCTTGGAGGGGGCTATGCTGGGCTGGTCCCTATGGCAGGGGACAGCCCACCCAGGGTGGCTCTGAGCTCCAGCCTGGGAGTGGCTGGGCAGGATGGCAGCACGGGGTTACCTGTCTGAGCCGAATGTTGGTGGGGTCTTCTGGGTGCCCCTGGGGCAGAGCTCCCCGTTATAGTGAGGAAGGACTGGGCAGTTTGGGAGTGGGCCACTTTGGGGCTGTGGAGACCTGTGGTGCTGGTGGCAGGGCATCGACGCTGAGTGCTATGGCCTGTCAGATGGGGACACCCCTGGCTCTGCCATCCCTCCTGGCTGACTGGGGTAGAGGGGTTGGCCAGGGCTGGTACCCAGCCATGGGGCAGTTGGGGCTGGGAAAGATGGAGGAAGGTGCTGACACTCATGTCATGGTTGTTCTCTCCAATTGCTCCGCTCGCCTTTCAATGGCAGATGATTGTAAGTACGGCAGCTCCTTGTCTGTCTGTATGTCTGTCTGTGTGTTGGTTCTGGCCTCACCGGTTTTTGTCTCGTGTGGCTGCCCGTGCCCTGCCCATGCCTTCCTTCGGCTCCTGAATGGTCCACCTCTATGGTCCCCATCCTTGTGCTGCCTGCTTGGCATTGGCTCCTGGCAGGCACTTGCCTGCAGCCCCAGCCGGGCTTAGGGGATGGAAAAGTCCTGGTCAGATTCGCAGTGCCTGGATGTGGGGAGGTGCAGGAGTTAGTGATGGGGTGGGAGGTGATGGTGATGGGGCAGTGCCATGGAATTGAGGACAGCCAAACCCAGACTGATCCCATCCTCTTGCTCTGTGCTGAGGATGAGAGAGGCCCATGGGAACACAAGCCTGGTATGTGCTGGGCAGTCAGGGCTCTTCCTGGCCCCTAGTGCCTCTGTCTCCCCTTAGGGCTCTGTCTGGGGTCTGGTTATGGTGAGTGCTGAGGGCAGAGGCTTTCCTGGACTGTGGAGAGGAGCATCTTGCTGGGACACGGTGGTGCCTGGCCTGGTTGCTCAGCAGTGGGGTAGTTCACTGGCACAAGCTGTGAGACTTTTTCCCTGACCGTGATATAGCCCTGGGAGTCCTAACTCCTGGGTTCCCTTCTCAGCGTTGCTGCTGGGTCCTTGCACTGAGCAGTTTCTTTTTGTCTTCTTCTGGGCTTATGCCCCATGGGGCCAGGGAAGGGCCATGTCTGCCCCCACCCCTGCTTTGACCGCAGACATCTTTGTAAGGAGGAGCAGTGGTGCAGGCCCTGATGATTGGGTGCTGGGTGGAAATCCCTGCAGAGACAAATGCCCATCCCATGTCCCCTAACGTCATCCCACGTCCCCCAACACCTTGGGTTTCCAACAGCAGCATTTGGAGAGACCCTGAGGTAAGCTTGGGGCTGAGCCACCCATCAGACCTCACAGGGACCCCATGTCCTGGCCTTGCTGAGGCTGCCAGGGGACTGGGTTGGTGTCAGCTCTATGGGGTACAAGGTCTTCTTGTTCATCCATCACCCTGTCCTTCAGTTTCTCTCCAGGGCAAGAAACACTCCTGATGGCCCTACTTGGCCCTAACTGTGCTGCTTGTCCCTCTTGCAGGCTTCTGTCGTGGTTTAACTCCGG